TCCTTTCCAACACTTCTAAAATTAAATTCTGGGTCTTTCTAAATAACAATTCTATTAACTTCATCAAAGTTTATAGTAATAGTATCAGATTTACAACTACAGTATTAAAGGCAAATACTATCTACTTAACAACAAAAAAATAATCTCTTGCTTATATTCAGTACAATTCTGTACTATAGAAAAAAACATAAACAATCTCAAGTCTATTTGATATATCTTGTGCCTTAATTCTATATACCTATTCAACAATATTCAGAAACTTATTATGCCCTTTTTTTTCAAATCACAAAGTCTTACAAATATTAATTTCTTTATTATAACTAGTTATCAGATTTATGACCTTATATTTCTATAACAAAAATAATAATAATCTTATAGTATCTAAACCAATAAACACATTTATATACTGTTGAAATTAAAACAGTGAGTCTGTTGCTTGTGGCAGATCAAACTTATATAACATCAGGATAGGTTATTCTTTTTTTTTTACTTGAAACATAGATTTGACTGAGCCAACCTTAACCTATTATTCACTTACTTTCTTTTTTCTCTTGTTATTTTCTTTGATAGTTCAAGTCACAAACCTTATTAGTGACTTCCAGAATGATCCTCTCATGTCAATATTATTTCAAAAGATGAGTTAACTAGTAACTTCTTTTTTTGATGCATCTATCACACCACCACTTATAGTAACTTTTAATTTATACTCACATGACTATTTCATATCTCTACAAAAATAGTAATTATATTTTATTAAAGTAAAGTTAAGTTATCCAATTATATTATATTATTTTTTTTTCTCTCATATTTATATCACTATGACTATCTGCTATAGGACTATAACTCTATAACTTATAAACTACTAGATTATAAAATAAACTATTTAAGTTTTTTATTATATTATAAGTCTATTTCTAAAGCATTTTCATTACTTAAATTAGGCTATTTTCTATAAGAATGGTAATTAAATTCTATTAAAGTAAAGTTAAGTTATTCAATTATATTATGTCATTGTTTTTTTTTCTCTCTTATTTATATCACTATGACTATCTGCTATAGGACTATAACTCTATGACTTATAAACTACTAAACTATAAAATAAACTATCTAAGTTTTTTATTATATTATAAGTCTATTTCTAAAGCATTTTTGTTACTCTGAATAGGTGTGTTATATGAATGTTGTGTTGCCAGGCCTTACTGAAACAATTTCTTCACTAATAATATACACTTTATTTTAACTTCTGAAGTATTTTCTGAATAGTATATTATCAAATTCTAAATAACATCTCCAAAACATCAACCATCAATATTTTTCTTAACAAAATTTCTAATTTAAAAGTTCCAAACTATATTAACAGATCAGTCAAAATGTCTTTCAGCAGACTCATTAATAAATGCAATACTTTTATAGCAGAAAAAATTTTACCATCTTGTAACACAAATTAAAAGATTACCAACTATTATCTAATACAAACACAAAGATTAATATACTAGTTCTTCAATGTTTTCCTCTAATATTTATATCTCAAAAATATAGTTGCTTAGGTCCTTTCCTAATATTAGACAAAAACTATTTTTTGATAAGTTAGATAGTATACTAAAGATAATTATTTTGTTGTTAAGTTTTTTGAAAAGATAGTTCTCTTTTGAGATTTTTGTTTCTAGGTAATACAAGATGATTTTATCATTCTTGATATTCTGATATAGTGCTATTTATTTGCTTTTATTGTTTAGTCCATAAATATTTAGGGTTGAAACATTAAATAGGTTTTTAATATGAGTATTAGAAAGATTTGAGAGAGAAGTCTGTTGTATATTTGTATTTAATAAATGAATGAAGTTAGATAGTGTTGTCATTTTAACAAATAAAAGAAATGAGATCAAAGTTAGGCTCCAACAGATCTTCAGAAGCAATGTATTCTTCTGATAGTCTGTCAAATATATTTTTTGTATAATTGTATAATTAGTAAAAGTAAATTTTTATTATCAATAAAGATAAAGCATATTGAAGAAAAGTTGTCTTTTGATATTTTGTTAAGTTCTTTTATGAAAAGTAAAGATGGCTTTGGAACCTGGAACCAATTCTCTGGAATAGTATAAAATTTATATCTCTTATGTAATTTTTATATAGTTGATAGAAAATTATCTATTTAATAGTCAATATGGCATTTAATTTTGAAAGACTTGTTTACTTTAGAAATTTTACTCAGTAGTTTTTTTTTACCTGTCTAGGAAATGGCTGGGTCAATCCATTGAGAGCCAAGAGACAGATTAAATTTAAAATCTTTTTGTAGATACTTTATAAGATAGTTGGCATCCTCTTTGATTTGTGCAGGGATACTTATGTCTAAGTTGTTCAACAATGAATTAAAAGAGTAAGGTAATGGTCCTTTGAACTTATAGAAGTCCAAGAGCAAAGTTTTAAGACTGTACTCTTTTTTTAAGATTCCAATAAGCTCTTTTGTGTTTATTGTTATTGAGTCATAAGATAAGTAGCATATCAGGTGTTTTGGAAGCAACTTATATAATGCTAGGAGTAGAGTTTTAGGTGGCAACAAGTCAAAGAATATTTTAGATAGTTTTGCAAGGACTTTATAAAACTTGACAAGTTCTTTGATTTTTACTAAGAGTTCTTTTAGGTCTTTTCTTTCAATAATAGAAAAGATATATTTGATTTCTTTATTAAGATCCTTAAAATTATCTGGTAATAATTTAAACTTGAAAAAGTATAAATCAAAGAATTAAAAAAGCTTGCAATGCATTTTTAAGACTGATATAGTAGATGTAAGCATTGATTTTTTTTTAATTGGCAGTAGGCTTGAAAGTTTAATAACTATACTAGGAGAAATAGATTCTGGGACATCTGAAAGAGCTAGTAGTGATTCATATTATACTTCTTTGATTATATTTAGCAGCTTAATATAGTTAACAATGTCGTCATCATTCTTTATAAAGTAATTGCTTTCAAATTCAAAAATTTATGTAATTTCAAATAATTTGAATTTGTTCAAGTCTGTAAATCTGAGTCAAGCCATGAATAGTGATAAATTAAGGATTCATCTAATTTTTTTTTTGATTTTTTTGCCAATATATTTGACACTATTGATTTTTTTATAGTTTTTATATGTTTTTATTTCTAAAGTTTTATATTCTTTTTAATAATTTTCTTTGAGTAAGTCATTCTTAATAAATAATTTGAAGAAAGTTATATCTCTTAGAAGAATTTTAATAAACATTGCTAAATTAGATTTTTGTAAAATTGATTTTTTGGAGATAGTTTTAATTTTTCTGAAAAGATTTACTATTGCCTTGACTTTGCCATGGCTAACTGATAACTATGATGCCAAATTAATAATTGTATTATGCTCACTAATGAAAAATTTGTTGTTACTTATTGTTCATGTAATAGTGAAGCTGTTTATTGGATAACTGCTTTTTAGAAGAATTTTTACAATCCTGTTTTTTCTATTGTTTGAAGATAAAATCTATTGTAGACTTTTTGATAAGTTTTTGATAAATGAAAAGCAGTGAGAGTTATCAAGATTTATATTTAAACTCAAATTATTGGTTGGCCAACCAATTTTAGCTTTGTCTATTATTTTGCTTATTTTGATTTGTTCTAATATAAGATCTTGCCTATTTGTTTGAATAGAAATGTCTTCTCTTATAAGTTGTCTAGTTTTTCTTGTACTTTATAATTAAATTCTATAAGAGAGCTAGTGCTATCAATAGAATTTGTGGAATTCAAAAATTCTATTAATATGTTATTATCAGAGCAGGGACTGGTAGATCTAATTGTACTTCCAGATTTGTTGTTTTAATTGTCTGTGGTAATTGTATAATAGAGGTTATTTACTTGTATCATGTTATCTTGATTATATATATTGTTGATATTTGATGTTATGTGACCTGTTGTGCTTATTACTTTTGCATTATTCTGGACTACAAGGAATATATATACATTGCTATTAATTTTTTCCATTTTAGAATTGCTCATATTCTATAAAACAATAGAAGAAAGTAAGTTACTTGTGATTTTTTTTGGAATTTGAGATAGTAGCTTTTTTTCTTTGAATTTTCAGTAAAGTTTTGTTTAATAATTATTAATTTTTTGTTCTGAACTGGTGTATTGGATAATGTATGAGTTGGTGCATTTTGAATTTTTTTTAAGTTAAATTTTTTATTATTTTTAATAATATTAACTTAATTTCAGATAAGATGAAAAGTATAATTGAAATTATTGTCTAGAATCTTTCTTGTAATTGTCTCACTTATGTTTAGGACAAGATTATTTCTTTTCTGATATTAAAAAAAGTCATTGAGATTGTTTTGAATATTGCTTTTGTGATTATTAATAGTTATTGAAGCTATTATATGTACTGTAATTGAAGCTATTATATGTACTGTAATTGAAGCTATTATATGTACTGTAATTGAAGAAAGATGAAGTTAGTTGTTACTTACATAAATTTGATAAAGATAGTGTTCACTTGTAGTAGGTTACTGTTGCTTGAATTTTGTAAAGAAACAATCCAAAATTTGAGAAAATCAATTAAAGATAAAATGAATATATTTATTGCTGGTTTAGTAATTTAAATATTAATTGAGTAGCTTTTCTTATATATTATAGAGAAAAAGTGATTATTAAGATTTATTACTGTAATATTCAAAAAAATATAAGATAACTTGATAATTTGTCCTTAAAACAGATGCTTTCAAGAGTTCTTGTTGTTTTGTTTCTTTCAATAATTTTGCCAATTACTAAAAAAGAAAATTTTTAAGTAATGTAAAATTTTTGAAAGAGAGTTTTTTATAATATTTGATCATATATTAGATAAATATAATATTTTATATTATTTTTAAATATATTTTTGGCAAAATAACAAAGTTAAAAAATAAACTATAATTAATATATTCAAAAAATAACAAAACTATAACTTATTATATATTGAATAATTTAAAATAAATATTTAATTTTGGTTTAATTAACATATAATATTAAATAAATATTTTAACTAATAAGAATCAAATTATATGTAAAAAATTAAAAAATATTACTTTATATGGTTTGGTTTAGAATTAATTTTTTTTATAATTTGGTTAATAGTAATTAAAATTAAATAAAACCTTTAATACATATTATTTATAATAAAAAAAATATATTAATTCTTTATTCATATTTAATTAATACTTATTTTAAAATATCAATTTAAAGTTAAAAAAAAATTTTTTTAACAATTACAAATTTTAAATATAAATTTTATGTATAAATTTTATTTATAAAAATTTTTTTATTACAGTATATTAAATTTTTTTAAAAAAAAAATAATTATAAAATCAAAAAAATTTCAATTTAAAAATTATCAAATGTTTTTTATCATGTTTAAATAATAATATTAAAATTTTTTATTTTTTATTTTGTAAAATTAATTTTAAAAATTTTTAATATAAAATATAAAAAATTCATATAAAATTTTAATGAAATTATTAAATAAAAAAATTAATTTATTATAATATATATTCTTATTAACAAGTTTATCTAATAAATTAATCACAATAGTTTTTTCTAATGAATTTAAATTAACTGATTTTTTTTTTAAAAATTTTTTTTTAAGATTTAAGAATATTTGATAATATATTTAAAAAGGTTTATTCAGTAAACTTATTCTTTATGTTTTCAAATATATATATTTATTTACTCATAATATTTTATTTATTTATTATTAAATTTTAAGTAAAATTAGAAAGATAATTTATTCCAGTTTTCTTTGAACTAGAATGTATATATAATATATAAAAATTAATTTCAAATAATTTGTATTTGTATAACTATTTTTATATATTAACAACGATAATTATTGATCCTACTTTAAATTTAAAAAGGTTAAAAAGTTTCTGGAAAAGATTTTATAAATTTATAAACATTACTAGTATGAAGTGAAAATAAAATTCGCTTTGGTTTTTTATTAAATTTCAAAATTGAATTTATGCATTATAAAATATTGATGTTTATATATTTGAACTCAATTGACATAATTTAAGAAACACGAACTGTCAAAACATTTTAATATAAACGTACAAAATATATTTTAATAAAAATTTAATAACTTGTAATATTTTTTATTTTTCTTTCAACAATTGTTAAAAATATAATGGAACGTATTCTATTTTTCATATGCGCTGTTTCTATAGAAACGATTCCTGCTTTATTTAAAGTAAGCATATGCAATTGCAAGTACAAGGATTGTTGATTAAAAGCATACTGGGATTTGTTTTTAAATAATATAAGGGATCATATTGGATATCTTAACAAATGTACCACATACAGTATGTATGCAATATAAGTAGCAAGCTATTTAAAACTTAGAATAAACATATTACATATAACGTGCATATTTATCTTAGGGAGTAGTGGATGTTCTTTTACGCGATAAAAAAAAAAAATAGAAAATAAGAAAATCCTCATTTTAAATTCTCTGAAAAAAATCAGCAAATAATTCACGGATCAATTCATGTTCATCTTTTCCATTTAAATTGGGGGTCCATGTAGTTTTAGAAGTATTTCTTCTTTTTGTTCTATCCTGAACTACATAAGGACATATCTCCAAATGCACTCTCTTGTGTCTTTCCATGGCCATTTTATAAGCTTCTTTGATTCGGTTGACCAATCCGGGATCATTCTTTTTAAGGTCTTCCCAAACGTTTCTGGCAATTTTTGAGACCTCATCCCTTTTATATTTTATATCGAGAATTCTAAAACAGTTTTGGAGGGCCGTTCTATGGATGATATAAGCGGTTGCCGGCTTCTTACTTATAACATTCCCAAACGAATCAATCTCATAAATTACTTTATTTTCACCATGCATAACAAAGTATACGCCGTTTGAATCGCGAGCAACGATGATGAGATCGTCCTCAACAGATATCTTAGAAAGTGTTACATATTTAATATGGTGAGGGCTAACATTAGCATGATCCGTCATCTTCTTTATTTTTTTTCGTTAAATAACAGGACAAATGAAGATGATTAGATACATAAAAACGTGGGGCCAGCGTCTTTTTATACTAATTCCAGACTGTTTATTGCATAGTTTTTTTTTTTTATGGTCAAGGAAGGTTCTTTGAGATTCTTTGATGAAATAAAATTAAGAGAACATATCGTTGCCCTCTCTGAGTCCGGAATATTGATCCGTATATCGGAATAGATCTCCAATTCTAATCGGATTGTTATATTTATGGGCAATAATAAATTTCCATGTAGCGGAGTGAAACAAAGTAATTCTTTAAATTCATTATGATAATTAGGAGAAGGCTCTATTAATGACTTATGAAAGAATTTTTCGATCAACGGGGCAACTAATTCGCGTGGAAATTTAATAAAGGTATAGGTAAAATAATAAAAAATAAAATACATTTGTGAATGATTTCTGGGAACGATTCACGTAAAATTCATACCATAAATGTACACATTTATCCAATCACGCGCGCGCTTGTTGAATTCGGACGAAAATTTTGCTGAGGCTTTTCTTTCACCTGAAATACTTCAAACAAAACAAAAGGTCAACACTGAATTCATGAATGCTAAAAATCAACCGGCGCAATTAAAAGAATCATCACCTATGTACTTTGTTTCTTTTATCACTTGCTTTTTTGGTCGTATAATATCAGTGTTTCATAAAACAATATATAAATTGTTTTTTATGATTTTAGTCACGTTCACCATAAACGACACAGTAATCCATCAAAACAGTCCACGTAACACATCCTTTATCCGGGAATCCTTATGACATGCAATCGAAAACTTTTTTAATTATTATGCGTAATGATCATCTCCACGCATTCGTGTTTTTGCAAGCCAGCAATGACATCAGGGCTCGGCGCCAAAAAACTCCGATTTAGCTGAATACGCCACTCAGTACCCGAAACTCTGGTGAAGAAATAGAAAAGTTACTGGTTATATTTCCGAAACGCCATCGTCACAAGTTATCATTTAATCGAATGATAATTCTTTTGAAGCATGCGCGTCGTACGTAATTATCCATTAGGCTTAATGTGTACATCTAAACTAGAAATGATCAGATAAATATTGTTAAGTTTATTTCTCAATTTAGTCGCGTTGTTGTAATCATATTTGCATTACATATGCAACATTTTTTATTTTATATCGAAACCCTAATTTTTATATAATACAGATATATGCGACAAATTATTTACTATACGCGTGCATTAATCAACAGTCTTGTCATTGTTTAATCACGAAGGATTTGATGTTTGAATGATAAAAGGATTATGCCAAATTGCATCCTATTAAATAATTACCATATTAAATAAATCTCTAATTTATTAAAAACCGCAGGTACGTTACGCCTGATGCGCCACGGCTTGGGACCTTATATACAATATTTTATATAAAGAAGCGTGATTTTAGCAAGAAGGTGTGACTCAATAGGAAAACATCTTTCATGAATCATTGGATCACACATGTTGTGTCTACCTCAACTGAGCAGAATACCTCTTTCGATAGTTGCATTCTGCGTTTGGCAGACAAGTGACAACTCGCAGTTTTTTAACTCCAGCATTATTTTGTTATCTATACATTAATTAATCTAATATTAAAATATATTGCTATGTACTCTATAATTTATTATAATTGTAAAAAGTTATGTATACTGTAAATAGATGAAATATTGGATATTTTAATAATAGCCATTAGCGATTTTTTAAAAATTGTCAGTTAAACATAAGACAATATTGTAAGCACATCATAATATTACATGATATTTGATAAAATTTTCTTGTTTCTGATATATAAAAATTTTTATTTAATCATATTCAACAACTTGATGATAAAAGATTTTATATTTAATAAATATTTATTTTTTTGTTTATAAATTATTATCCTTCCATAAAATATTTAACAAATAATTTAAATAAAAACAATTTTTTTTTATTTATAAACTGCATAAATATTTTTTTTTTTGATATTTTGATATAATTTTTAATAAAAAAACATAATATTTTAAAATGTTATTTTTATATATTACACAATGAAATGTTATTCATTTTAATACAAAATATTATAAATTACTTGTTTATAATATAAAAAAATTTTACTTAAGCTTGACTTGCAAAAAATTCTAATGAAACATTTTTAATATAAAAATTAATATCAAAATAATTTTTATATATAAAAAAAATTTTTTTTATTATATTGTTAAAAGAAAAACAATCAACAATAGTAATTTGAAATAATTACTTTATTAGTTTAATCAACAAAATTATTTCAAATAATAACTTTTAAGTAATATAATAGTAGGTCTAATTAGATCACTATTATATCACTTAGTATGAATTATAACCATTTTATAATAGTAACAATTTCTGAAATTAGATTATATAATAACAGATGCCAATTTCTATAATTAGATTATATAACAATAATGAACAATACTGTAATTAGGCCATATATAAAGATATTACATTTGTTTTTTTAGATATATATATTAACAAAGTATTCAATTATACTATATATTATTTGTAGGTTCAATATATATATACAATTGTTATTAATATTGTCATATATTATTTTTATCTCAGGAGAAGAATAAAAATAAAGAACTAGTAGCAAGAAGACACTTTAGATGAATAGGACCAATGTAATATACCAAAGTTTCTAGACATATACAAATTAGTATAATTCTTAGATATATAATGTTAGATGAAAGAAACTATAATAATTTATTTTATAAAGGTTAAGATATTTATTCAATAAAATATTAGTTCAAGCCTGTCAATTTCTAGATGAAATTGGAGACTTTATATATATATTTAAGTTATAATATTTTTGTACATAATAAATATAAGTTATAATAAATAATAGAGATATAAAAAAATATTATATTCAAAAATCAAAAACTTATTCTCAATTGCATCAAAACTACCAAATTAGGAAATACCCAAGAAAACAAAATTTCGTCTTAAGGAAAAAACAAGAAGGAGAGAGGCCCTCCTCCCAAATCTCCTAATCCAAACCATAAATATACTCTCCTCGATATAGTCCTCGCCGACAACAAACAAAGGCTTCCCAAAGTTTCAATAATCTACAAAAATAACAAAACTTCACAAATTTTTGTCACAAAACCTGCCAAAGAATTTCAAATTC